TTCAAGATGGTGTGTCGGGGGGCGCCAGGCAGCAGAGAACAGCGGCAGAGGTCAGGAGGGTAGGGGAGAGGCAGGCCAGGTGCTCAGACCCTGCCTGCAGGGACCACAGACGACCAGGGCGGCCAGGCGGGCGGGGAGGAGGAGGCGCAAGCTCTCTGGGCGGCAGCAGGCGATTCTCACGCCTGTGCTCCCTGCTCCCCACCAGCTGCGGGCACAGTGGGCACCGCCCAGGCCTGCTCTGGGGGTGGGTGTGTGGGCACAGTGGGGTAAGATGCGCAAACCACCGCCTACGGCCGCAGAGATAACACGCTGAAGAACACAGCACCCTTTAAATGCTGCCCGGCCACTTACGCCTGCTGACCTCAGTTTTCTCCTGGGGAAGAGGGACCCCTGGGCTATGAGGGCTACAGTCTCAATGTGTATCGTTAATCATTCTACCCTGAATGTCACTCCTCAAGGGCCATCTCACCCTCCATCAGGGACAGGGCGCCTGTCCCCCTGCCCTGCCTGGGGAGAGCTAGAACAGACACGGAGGTGTGCAGAGCCAACCTCAAGCTATGTCTGCACATGCCCTGTGGCAGACCAGCTGTGCCCTGACCCTGACCCCTGCACTGGCCGTGTATCCAGGCAGGCCTTAGGGGCCCTGTCCTGTAGTTCCCATCTGGCAGAGGAGGATGCTGGTCCTGCCTATGGCAGGGCTGTGGGATCCTAGGCACAAGCTTCAGAGCGGCTTCTGGCACCCAGCGAGCACTTCGCTAAATGTGAGGCTTCATTATCACATAGATTGTGCTAAAGACCAGCCAGGGATCTTTTTGGAACGGTTACATGAAGGCTGTCTGATCCAAACTGCAAGGGGGGCAGTATGTTTTCACGGATGCTGTAGAAAGAACATCAGACTGGGAGACAGGCAGGGGACTGCCTAGAGCAAACGAATGTGTTCTTATCATGCAAGCAGGGTCCTATCTGCTGGCAGGGTGATGACGGTATCCAGCTGCTTGACCCGTCGTCCTGACCTGACACCAGAGCTCCGTGGCTGGGAGGACTGGGTGTGTTCCTGCCCTCCTCGGGCGCAGGGGCTACGTCTGGGAGGGGAGGAGCCGGGCTGAGGTCCTTACCTGAGGTACTCATAGAGCCCGTACATGGGCAGGAAGTCGATGTCAGACAGGAACATGTAGGGGGTGCTGATGTGCTTCAGGGCCACGTTGCGGAGGAGGTTCACAGGGTAGAACTGGCCCTCCTTGTACACGATGTGGTAGCCCACGTTGTGGCGGCCCATGAGCACCTCGGAGCCCTGCGCATAGCGCAGGAACTGCTGGGCCTCGGCGTCCGACAGGTACAGGGCCAGGCTGATGGGCCCCTCCCAGTGCTTGCAGATGGCCTCGAGCATCTGGAGCCTGCGAGACAGGGAGGGCGTGAGGACGGGGCTGGGCCAGCCGCTGCCGCCTCTTCCACCCTGAGTGACTCGGTCCCCCAACCTATGGACACATACCTGGCATTCCCGGCCTGCTCCGCTTTCACCTGCACGCGCTATCAAAGCTATGCCCCACTCTCGGCCGCAAACCCCCTCTCAGGCATTTGGGACGGAAAACAGACCCACACAAGCCAGGTGGCATGTGCGCATGACTGAATGATCTAAAGCTCCCACTTCCAGCCCAACTCCTCTATTCCTCTCTCAGCAAAGGAATGAAACAGTTCTGTGCAAGCAGAGCGGCACACACCTGTAATCCCAGCACTGGGGAGGTAGAGACAGGAGGACTGCTGAGAGTTTGAGGCCAGCCTGGGCTGCACAGTTCATTCCAGCCCAGAAGACTCCTCTCTCAGCAACTCACGTGCCTAACTCCTCCCTGCCCTCCAGGCATCTTCGGGGGCACCCTGGTCTCTGAGAAGCTGCCCCTGCCCCCCACCCGTCTACAAGCCCTCGACCTCACCCTGGCCGCACTGAGCGCTTCGGACAGCAGTGCTGTCGCCACGGCTCCCCTACTCCAGTCTCCCTTCCCTGTTCAGGGTGGGCAGACGAGCGCTGTGGGCAATGCCGGATGGATACAAGGAAAAGCCTGGCCATGGGGGTGGGGATTGAGCGCGGCTTTGCTCTGGAGAAACTGCCCTCCACTCCCTTCTACCAGCCACAGCCAGAGCCGCCAGGCAAGGTCGCTGGGTGCGTGCGGGCGGGGGGCACACGAGCCGAGGGGCATCGCCACACCTGTCCATGGACAGCTGGGCCACCAGGGTGACGTCCGTGTTGTCCGCGGCCGGCTCGTACTCGTAGTGCAGGAAGTACAGGTGGGTGCGGTGCACCGTGAAGCGCTCCCGCCGGAACTCGTAGCACAGGTCGTCCTCGTCCAGCTCCGACAGCTGCTTCTGGAGCTGAAGGTGGGAGAGATGCGGTCTGAGCAGGGCTCCAAGGGGCCCAGGAGGCTCCCGCGCTCTGCCGTCCCCAGGCTGTGACCCAGGGGGACAGTCAGCGGGTCCACGTGCATAGACAGCATCGCCAGTTCCATTTCCTAGCACGTTCCCCCAATTTCAAAAGGGTGATCATGAAGGGCAGGCGCCTCCATGGTTTGGCGACGGGGCCCCCCCAGCTGCAGCCGGGGTGGTGCTTGCAGACAAACGCACAGCCCGCCAGGAGCTCCTCAAACCCAGTAGATCCTGTTCCCAGGCAACACAGGGAAAACACCCACAGAGGAGAAACCCAGGCAGCAAGGACCCACGTGGCCTGACGCTCCTGTTTCCTGTAAGCTACAAATTTCAACCTGTACCGCAACTGGACAGCAGAACCAAACCAACCCACGCTGGCCACTAACGGAGCGTCTGCATTCACAGCTGCAGTCGGGATGTTCTGCTTCTCGGGTCAGTTTGAGGCGTCCTTGTGCCACCGGCTCAACATAAGACCGGGACGTGGAATTCTCAGTCCGTGGAAGACCCTTTGGTGGCTGCCCTGTGGCCCATGCAGGATCCGACCCGCTTCCTCCTCCAGACAGTCTTGGGCTGCTCTCCCTGACGGTCCTCCGCCGCTCCCACCCCGCCTTGCCCTCCTCATCCGGGCCTCTCCCTGAACTGCAGATATTTGAGGGCAACCTCCCCAGGGGGACCCCATTTGCCGGTGCCCCCAGCTCCACACAGGACAGCTCCCGGTGGCCGTCCCTGCGCTGCGGTGTGTGGGAGGGTGCCATCCCCAGGAAGGCCCATCCTTGCCACGCTCTTGTATTCCCTTACTGTCCCGCGGGGGTGACCCGAGAGTCCCTCCTCAAGACCACTGCATGTGTGGAGGGCGGGTGATGTGCGCACGGTCGGGCGAGTGCCACCCACTCCGCCGAGCCCAGGCCTGCCATCGCCCGCCTCCCGCGGGCCGCGCACCCTGTCTGTGCCCCTCCGAGAAAGATGCTGGGCTGGCCTGTGGCGCAGACGCAGACTGCATGCGCGGCCAAGGCCGCCGCTCCGAGGCCCCTCTCCTGCCCGGACGCTCAGGGGTGAGTGGGAGGGTTCACCTCTGCACCCCAGCTTCCTCAGCTGAAGCAAAGCAGTAACCAGCAGGCCTCGCAGGGTAACACCCCGTGGGACACAGCACTTGGAGGTACGACACCTGGGGCCGCGTGGTGGCCCTTCTGACGCACGCAGGGCAGAGTCGCCTGCCTGGCTCCTTGGGCACCTGGAGCACACCTGCAGGAAGCTCAGCCGCTGACCTCCTGTCCTCCCTCACGCGCGCTGGGGAGGGCAAGGACGATTCTTCCCATCAGAAAACAAACACCCGCAAAACTCTCAAGAGCGGTGCTGCTTTTCTTCCTCTTGGTTTTTGCTGTTTTTCACACACTGATGCGGTGCATGGCTCCAGTTCCGTGTCGAGAAGGGCGGCGTGTGTGCACGTGGATGTGAGTGTGGGCAGGCGTGTTGGTGGGAGGAGCACTAGTGACCAGAGGATGAGGAGTTCGTAGTGTGGACTCCCCCTGCCCTTGACACACACACACACACACACACATACACACACACACTCCCAACCTGTGAGTCAGGGTTCTGGGGCACTGTCCAAGGAGCACCCACAGAATGAGTTCCCAAAGGCAGGGACTGCACCCCCCCATCTCTGAACCCCGGAACTTGAGGCATCTGAGCGTCCTCTGACCCCTGCCGGCCTGTGCAGGGCGTCCTTGGCCACTGCAGGACAAGAAAGGGCAGTGACGGGAAACACAGCTGACCACTGTTGCTTGTGTTGGCAGGGAGGGGCGGCCAGCAGTCCCGGAGATGCTCAGCCTCTATCTGGGGCCTTCCTGGCCCCTCTTCTGGGCCCAGGAAAAAGCTCCCCCATGGCCATCATGCTGCTCCAGGGACAGGGTCCAGGGGATGCGGTGTGCCCCACACACTTGCCTCGGGCCTCTGCCACACACACTGTCTGCAGGACCCGGACCCAAGCTCACCGTCCCCTGGCTCACTGTCAGATGCGGGGTCACCAGTGTGGTTTGCAGCTCCACTCAGCTGGTCAGACAGCACCTACTGAGAGCCAGGGCAGCCCTGAAGTTGCCAGGCGAAGGAGGAAACTGAGGCCTGGGCTTCAGACTTTAACTCGGGGACATCGCAACACACAGTCACCGCCTCCCCAGGACGGACGTGAGGACCAAACGAGGTGGCCAAGGACACGAGGCCCCGTGAAAGACGCGGCCCACAGAAATGTGTAGCAGCACGGCCCCAGCAGAGCACGACACAAGCAAAAGCCCTAGAGAACACATTCAAGGGAACATTACATCGTAACAAAGATTTTCCTGAGTGATGGATTCGGAGATAAATTTTATTGCCCTTCTTTGCTTTTCTGTAGTTAACCAATTCCCTGCAATTTTTCCCCATGAGAGAAGGCACGGAGGAGGGCTGTGTAGGCTGGAAAGCACTCCACATACCTCAGCGATGTGGCTATGATTTCCACACACGCCCCTTTGCAAAGGCTAACATGGGCAGCTTGGCGCAGACTGCATGGCTGTG